TCAGAGTTGAATTTACTCATAAAAAACGATTTAATTGCATGTTTGGAACTGTTTGTTCAATGAAAGTAAAAAAATCAGTGGAGAAGACTTTGAATTTTGATTTCTTAATTTGAGTGTTTACCACTGTAAAAAATAAGAAGTTGAGTAAACTTAAAATTCTAAAGCAACTGGCTGCAAAAAATGAGTTTTATTAATATTCAGTGATATTAATATAATTAATATTCCATATAATATTTAAGTATACTTGACTTAAAATAGCCTTGTCAGTCAACTTAAAAAAATAATTTGCCACAACTTCAACCACTAAAGCTTATTAAACTGAACACTTCTTTGCAGCCAGTTGCTTTAATTTTTTAAGTAGACTCAACTTTTTATTTTTTACAGTGTGGCAGGACTGAAAAGGTAATAGCAGACGTGTACAAAGTGATTTAATACTTTGGAAAATCACGATCGCAACACATATCAATGCCTAAAATCAGATGGCCAGAAAGTGATTAATTTTTTACACATTTGTGATGCAGCAAGTCCAGAGACTGTTGTGTACACCATTATTTAATATAAAATTCACTTTAATGTGTGATAGGACTAAAAATGGCCATACAGTGGATGAGTAGCAGCTTGAACCAGGAAACAGTATTCCATACATCACTTAACAAGTGACTTAACAAACAGATATTGGCATTTTAAAAGAAGTCTAAATAGGTACTTAAAGTGTAGTAGTACATTTTTGAAAAGGATTCAGAATACCATTATTCATGAGGATTTAAGTCACAAAATTAATAATATTGCCTCACACAACATAAAAAAAGCTGATGATAAATATTGACCACTCCTGATAAATAGTTTTACAGGTTACCAGTTTTCATTACAAATCTGTGCAGCCTCTTGACACAAAAAAACATTTAGTTCTATAGAAACAGCAGATACATTGTAAAAATGATCTGTTAATTAACAGTTTCTGTATTTTGTGCTTAGAAGTGTTTTCAAATTTTTTTTACCATTGTGAATTGCATGATGGGACCTAGACCTGTGCTCTGTCGACTTAAGACAGTAACTTTTATTGATATTTTAGCAGTCTAAAATAATATTATGTGTAAAAAATAATATATAGAGAAATCAGTCTATAAAATAACAGTAACTGTGTGGGCAGTTTATTACAAGGATATATTGCAATGTAATATAAAACACAAACCCAGACATTATATCACTTTAAATAATCCTTTTTTTTTAATAAAAGTAACTTTTTGGACCTTTTCAAAGTTAAAAGTTGTTGGAAGACACATTAATGTCCCATAATGCAATTCAAAAGCATAAATAATAGGGGTAAATAAGAGTAAAAACATGAATCACAAAATATGGAGGGGGACGCGGTGGCGCAGTGTGTAGCGCTGTCGCCTTACAGCAGGAAGGTTCGAGCCCTGGCTGGGTCAGTTGGCCTTTTTATATGAAGTTTGCATGTTCTCCCCATGTTCGTGTGGGTTTCCTCACATGCGCTATAGGTGAATTGGGTAGGCTAAAACTCTCCGCAGTGTGTGAATGTGAATAAGTGTGTATGGATGTTTCCCAGCTGGAAGGGAATCTGCTGTGTAAAACATATGCTGGATAAGTTGGCGGTTCATTCCACTGCGGTGACCCCTGATTAATAAAGGGACTAAGCTGAAAAGAAAATTAATGAATAATAAAAAATAAAAAAATACGGAAAACTGCTAATTTAGGGATATTTTTTTTTTTACAGTGTAGAACAAGTTGATTTGTGGCTTATAACTGTAAGAGTTTTGAAAAAAAAAAAAAAAACTCTCTAAAACAGGATTTTAGAGAGAACTATAGGACAATGTAAGTGATTATGGTGCACTTTGAATATATGCTATTATTTAACAGTTATTTTCTCTCTTTGTCTTCTCTCAGTAGTCTGCTTTTCTCAAGCTTTATGCTGGCTGTGTTGAGCTACTGTACTCACATCTTCTCTCTTTAGACTCCCGGCCACGAGTAAACGCAGAGCATATATCGACTTTTACTTCAACAATAGGACCATCACTCCATGCTATCATATTTTTCTCAGTCTGTCACAATACTGCCATTTCAATATACCAATTTCACTCCGAGTGAGCGATTTAACAAGGTGTGGATCTCTATTCAGCTCCACGTATTGTAACAGTGGAGCAGAACAACATGTTCTTGCCATTAAGAATCATATGTTGATATGTTTGAACTCCAGATATAAGGTAAACGAGTTTGTCCTTTCAGTTGAAGAGTTGAGCTCCATTGACTGGTTAAATCTGAAAAGCTTTTAAAAACGCCTCTCAAATAATATTTTTTACATTTTAAATTTTTTTTTTTTATTTTTTTTGTGGTATAATTTCCTTGGTATTGATTCAGGAACTGCAGGAAAACTTTTTTCAATTGCTCTGTTCAAATTGGAGTTGATGGTGGTCCACGGCTCAACAATGACAGGGGAAACATTTAAAATGGAAGTCAATTAATAGCTTTTTTTATTTCAATGGGAAACCTCCAGTGGATTTCAGGCAACACACTGCTTAGCACATGCACTGTAGTACATACAAATAAACTATGTGGGTCATTTTCCAGCAAAAAGTAAGAAAAAAAAAGACCTGGTAATTTTGAGAATTTTAGCAGGGGAAGCGGTGGCTGATTGGAACACATTTATTTTAAACTGTTATCTTGAACACTGACATTTTGTTGTCTGCCACAAATGGAAGTAATGTAAACTCTCCGATATAAGCCTATGTTATGCATATTAATGTCAAGTATAATGTGGATTGCTGATTGATGATCCATACAGTTCATTTTTATATGAGGCTTTAACACGTTATTAGAAAATATCAACTTCAGTTAAAATTTTGCAAATGTATTTTTCAATAACTTCTATATTTGAAGAGTTCAGATGGAAAAGCTATCTAATGCTACATTCACTCTGCAGCCAAATGTGGCCCAAATCTATTTTTATACTCAGGTAATGACAGTGTGAACAGCCAAAATCGCAGGGAATCTCATCATTTTAATTCAAATTTGTGCCACTTTCATATGTGGTATTAAATCAAACACAGATCTGATATTTTGCAATCCGACCACAGTGTGAACGATTATGTAGGACTTCATGTGACTTTTACATAATCTTTGAGCGACATGCGTCATCATTCTGTGCTGAAAACATCATCTTCTCAGCAGCATAGTAGAATAGCACCCAGGGCAATAACTTTAGCACAGATAGTTTATTGTTTATTTTGAAAAAAAAATTGAAAGCAAAACTGGTGCTTGTTGACCAATCTGGTTAACGATTGGGGCACGGGTTGGTCGTGAAGCTGAAGAACACCGAGCTGTGTTGCGGATAGGGGATCTGTGCGCATAGGAGGGTACAGTTTTATTTAGGGGAACTTTCTCTCCTAAAAAAGGGCAGGTGCTCAATCACCCAAACCCCTGTTCTGCATGTGCTTGTTGTTTATAACAAAGTAAAATTAAATAACTCTGCAAACACAGATAAACCAACTCTGCCTTCACAGTTCAGTTCGCAGCTGCTTATCAACCCTTAATGAGTTCACCAGTGGTCAGAAAGACGTGCACTGCGGTTGTCATAAATCACAAATTATCAGTGGTTTCAATCACAAGAGACTTATTTTAGGATTCAAATGCCAGAATACACATTAGTAGTAGCAGGACAACCATTTACAGTTAATACAATTAAAATACACTGTGGTTGTCTGTGAAAAGGGGAATAATGTACTTTTATTCATGCGGGTCAGTTTAGGACCATGATCTGTTCACACAGCAAAATCTGATATTGGCCACATTTATAACAATAATGTGAACAGTCATGCAAAAAAAAAATCTGATCTGAGAAAAAAAAAAAAATCTAAGCCTTGCAGTGTGAACGTACCCTAAGTGCCATCTAAAATCTTCATTTAAAATGAGCATTTTTCTCAGGCTCATGTCTATAGGTTCAGTTGTTTGATATTTATGACAAAGAATATTTTATTTCCATTGCCTTTAACAGGAAATAACAACTTAAACATTAGAGCCTGAGAATAATGCAAATTCTAGACAAAAATCTTGGATAGTGGGAAGTGTGTGTGTGTGGGAATGCAAGAGTGTATGGATGTTTCCCAGTACTGGGTTAGAAATAGAATACAGCATCCGCTGTGTAAAACATGTATTTTATGTAAAACATAAAACATAACTATAACCGCATGGAATAGTTGGCGGTTCAGTTTGCTGTGGTGACTCCTGATAAATAAGGGACTAAGCTGAAGGAAAATAAATGAATGAATTTCAGTTAGCACTTAGTTTTGCCTCTGAACCCATCATTTATGGATCATATATTTTTATAAAAATAAAATGTAATAACTTCATGCCTTACAACAGCTCCAACCACTTGATTTTAAGGATTTAAAATAATAAATAAATAAATAAATAAATAAAAAATGTACTTTAAGCTTTTAAAATAAACATTTAATTATTAAAACAAATACTAATAATTCTAAGCTACAGACTAGTTACATTAATAATGAACAAATACTGCAACAGAACAACATGGGCTTACATTCTGGGAACATCTCAATCTTGTAAAAATGCTTAATTAAACCTTTGCTTATAGCGACCCTTTTAAATACACCAATAAATTAACCAAAAGAATCCAATCAGACTATGCCAATTCTGCCATTTAATGACCAAGATTCCATCTCGAAATAGAAAAAGGAGTTTCTTAAAATGAGAGCTCAGACATTTCTACAACTGCTGAGTGAGACACTTTTTTTTATCAGAGAACCTGCTTTCTAGGTGGTTAAACTGACTGTATTACACCTCAGTCTGCGTTACAAGCATTCCCGCTCTCTGTTATGTGAGAAATTGATTTTAAATCACAAACTCAAGACTTTAAATGCCACATTTAAATGGAACTTTCCTTTGAAAAATCACTCCTCCTATAACAGCAGGGCCCCAGAGACGAACGGCTACATATGGATAATAAGACTCTCATCGCACAGTACCTCTGAGAGAAGATGTCTCTGTAAGGACTGCCGTGCTGCATCGCCATGCCGTAGCCTCTGTCAGCCACATTGTTGCTCACGGTGTAAAGCGAACAGTCCTCGTCATTAATGGCCACATACTCCAGCACAGCTGCATCCCACACAAATGCAAAACGTCCGTACTTCACCTAAGAGGGTGAGAAAAAAAGACACACGTATGTACACAAAAGAACAGGAGAGTCGGGAGAGGTGCAATGGAAATCATGTTAAAAGATAAACAGAGAGGACGAATTCAAAACCAAATCAGGTGGGAACCAGTGGTCCATAAATAATGCAAACAGGTGCTTGGCGTATTAGTAAAAGTGGCTGGTCTATATAAAGCTGAAAAACAACCCTGGGTGAATTAAATAACATCCCAGCAGGACCTCACTACTCTTTTACCATTAATTGTTTATTAAGCATGGCCAAGAAGCGACAGCCAAGGACGTTTTACACCGTTAAAGTTAGTTTGCATGGTTGCTGTTTTTAAGTTATAATTAGAGTTGTGGGGTAAAGATCTACAGTATATCTTCAACCGGCAAGATAATTATTTTTTGACCAGGAAATGACTGGTTTCTCCCAAATTAGACTATAAAAAAGATGATTGCTCAGCTTTTATTTACCTTTAAACAAAAAATAGCAGTCAGAATTTCACAGCTTGATTGTATATATCTGTATATCTAAGTATTTTCAGCCTCCAACCTGGTTTTCAGATGGTGAAGTTCTGTTCCTCTCCACTGGCTTGCTTGCTTTGGGACTTGTGGAGCTGTGCATCGATGGATTTGCTTTTCAGTGTTTGGACTTTCAGCAGTGAAAAGTAAACTGAACTAAACTGAACTTTAACTCTAAAAACTGGGCTGACACAGTTTCAATTTACTAGAAAATCTATGTTAAGCTGCTTTGATACAATCAACATTATATATACTATATATATATATATATATATATATATATATATATATATATATATATATATATATATATATATATATATATATATATAAACATTTTAAAACATTATCTTCAGAACTAAAAGAAGAATTTGATTCTTTATAAAATCTAGAATATGTTTGTCAGCACTAATGGAGAATGAAAATTTACTCACTATTTTCTTCCCCCCTAGTGGTGCCAAAAAGTTTCTTTATTCCGTTCAACAAACTAAAAAACCTGTATGCAGGAAAAACAAACAACCCAGGCTCATTCTGAAAACATACCTCTTTATACATTCCTGGAAAGCACCAAATACACCCCAGGAGGAACTTTTTTTTGCAGTTTTTGCGAATCGGAGGCTGCTGTGTACGCTTTTTTAGATCTCAAATTTCTCTTGAGAGTGCAATTTGTGCCTGCAGTTCTCAGGTAAATCCACTAGAGTCCACTGTCGACTGACTGTTTGACTGATTGAATGACAAAATGCAATCAATTTTGTGTGTTTTTAAAAGCACAGATTGACCCGCCCACCCACTTTCCTGAACCCAACCTACAGTTTTAAAAAAGCCAAACAAAAAAGAAAAGTGCTCGCCATAATTTTACCACGTTTTCAGATTTTACCACATCTCACTCTGTTATTTACTTGTTTATTTTATTTTTTGAATTCAGTTTTCATCTTACCTGCTTTCTGGAACCATTCCACATTAAACTTGAACCCCATTGTCATGTTCAACTCCTCTCTGTGTTTAAAGTCCGCTGACGTTCATGGCGAGATAACTGAACAAACTGGTAATAGTAGGTAAGCCACCCATACGGACGTAAGAGATCAGCTAATAAACACGAAAAAAGGAACAGCGTCATACTGCATCGCATTGTGGTAAAAAAGAACAGCAGCCATACATACTTCTTGCTACATAATTTGCAATCTCCAGAAATGTATATCGGGATACGTTTTTAGAATGAGCCTATGTTAAAAACAAATGCTATGAAAGTCTATGGTCACAGGTTTCCATCTTTTTACAAAACATCCTTTGTTTTCAACAGAATAAAAAAGTCAAACAGGTTTGGAACAAGGCTGAGGAAACGATGATAATTTTCAGTTGTGGGTGAACTATCTCTTAAATTTCTAACATTGAAGATGCTATCCTTGAACAAGTCAAGTGTAAAATGGCCTTGATCCTCTGAAAGAACATTTCAAGGTTACGGAAGTCTTGCATAAATATAAAAAAAAAAAATAAATCAGTGTGCTGTTAATGAAATCCAGAGAGCTTTTTTCAGAGAGCAGTTCAATATCCGAGGGTTTATTTTAAAGCCACCTCTTGCTTAAGCGATGTAAAATATGTACACACACTTGCGTGGGTTTTTCTGTGGTAGACAAGTCTGACTTTTTAGGCAGAAACATTTTAATAGCCTGCTCATGAAAATTTCAGGCATTTCAAAACAGTCTGCAACAGGACAGGGCTAGATCAGAGAGACTGCCTTCAGAGAAAATCACTATTAAATGAGTAAACATCGTATTTACTCCAAACGGCTTACCAGACACGGCGTGCAACTACAGGTCAGTCTGCTAAAGCAGTAAAATGGGCTGTGAGTGGCTCCTGGCTTCAGAAAACACTGAGAATATTCTCACACCGAGAGCTTATTTCGATAAGAGCAGCAGTCATTTCACTGCAACGAATGCAGATGCAACTTCACTGCTTACAGATATGAAGCTTCACCGCAGGCTTCAACTGATAACTCTCCCCCTCATGCGGACTCCCTTTAAAAGTGCTCAGTGTGCTTGGCTGCCTGTTCAGACCACACTGCATATCCACAGACCTTTAGAGTTTAGACTTATTGCCATTTTGTGCAACAATCTTCATATATGTTTCACAGTAACAAAACTAAGGGAGTCATTTGAACAACAGTGGTTTTATTCACAAACAGAAATGTTTTTATGTGTTTTAGACATTAATCAAAAAACAATGCAGTGTTTCAATAGTAATCGATTATTTTGCTCACCTGTGTCCTGTTTAGTTACTCATTGTTGACTACAATGACCTCTGTTGACTTTCTGTATATAATGTCATAACATAGATTGTGATTTTTTTTTTTTAAGATTTGTGATTGTTAGCCCTTTTCCAATAGAGGGTCAATACTTATTTTTACTTAACTAGTCTAATCTATGCCGATCCAGGCCAGTCACTACAGATCCAGCTTCATTTTAAAATAGTGTTGCTATAAACAGAGCGTTATTTAATTAGTTTTAAAAATACATAAAAATAGTGTGCTTTCACATAGAGAAACTAACAGTAGGTCAACAGAGTGTAGATGCCATGCACATACATGCTGTACCGGTGTAGCATGGCTGAGAAATGCATGCCAAGAATGGTTTTTAATTGTGCCATACTGTACCAAGTTCACGTGGAATCATTTGCAAGTGGATTTTGTTCTTTTTTTGACTTAAGAATAGCTTAATGTAGTCTATTTTTTTCATTGCCTGCTTTCTCCATCATGACAAAACGTTCGAGGTTACAGAAGTAACCCTTCGTTCCCCGAGGAGGGGAACGGAAGTGCCATAGAGTGGATTAATTGAATCCACGAATGGGAGATTCGGATCAGAAGCTGCTTGTCTGGAGAGTTATTGAACGGGCCAGTGAATGAAATTAATTGGCAGCGTAAGCTTGCGCAGGTGCGCTGCATCGGCAATTATCCCAGCAGATAAGCGCACCTGAAGCCAGCAGACGCTATCCTTTAAGCTGAAGAGACTTTCAAACAGCTAAGGGACAGTCATTATGGCGACGGAGTATGGCACTTCCGTTCCCCTCCTTGGGGAACGAAGGGTTACTTCTGTAACCTCGAACGTTCCCCTTCGGTTGGGGAACTTCAGTGCCATAGAGTGGATTAATTGAATGAACGAATGGGAGAAGTATGGAAAGCGCCATAATGACTGCACCTTACCAACGCCCCCGATGAGGGGATAGTCAAGCAAGCGTGACCCACCCACATCATGGGAGGCGCGGTCCTCCAATGTGTCCCTGGCCCTAATTTATCCTACTTCAACAGAAGTTTTACGGATTTAGATATATTTTTTGGGAAGTCGTGAGCATCTAGATAATTCTAGGAAATACGACAGTACGTTGGGAAGCGTGCAATGCCGATAGGGAGGATGCTGCGGAGGCCATACGTTACCCAAGGGGGGGATAGATGGCAGAATTTACATATGGACTAGCCCTAAAAAGGGGGAGTACGCATAGCAAAAGAGTGGTTAGCGGAGAGGGAAGACACGGGTCCGCCCAGGAGGGGGACTTAACCGTGGCGGAATAAGCATATGGGATCGCCTAGTGGGGATCACGCATAGCAGGCACCTATACCCAAAACGCGGGCTGACCAGCGGGCAGACCTACAACGTAGTGGGCCAGCAAGTGACTCCTCCGCTGAGTCAGTGCTGGGGGCCACGGAGGAATCTGCAGGGCTCACCTGACGGGGAACTTTACTGACAGATAAAAAGGCGCACGTACCTCCGTGTTAGGGAAAATGGCGCAGCAAGCGTGTTTCAACACCCCACCGAGTTGTTTCCTCAATCACCAAAGGGTTACCTAATACCCTTGAGGAAACCGGCTCCACTCGCAGATTGTAAAACCTTGCAAATGTGTTGGGTGTCGCCCAGCCCGCAGCTCTACAGATGTCTGTTAGAGAGGCGCTGCGTGCACGCGCCCAAGAGGATGCAACGCTCCGAGTGGAGTGTGCACGTACTCCCGGGGGACACGGTTGACCTCCACTCGAATAAGCGAGTGAAATGGCATCCACAATCCAGTGGGATAATCTTTGTTTCGATACGGCACTCCCCTGCTGCCGACCACCATAACAGACAAAGAGCTGCTCAGATGATCTAAAATTCTGAGTACGGTCCACATAAATGCGCAGAGCGCGAACTGGACAAAGTAAAGAAAGGACTGGGTCTGCCTCCTCCGGGGGCAGCGCTTGCAGGTTCACTACCTGATCTCTAAAGGGGGTGGTAGGAACCTTGGGCACATAACCGGGGCGGGGTCTCAGGATGACGTGAGAGTAATTTGGCCCGAATTCCAGGCACGAGTCACTGACCGAAAATGCCTCCAGGTCCCCGACCCTCTTGATGGAGGCCAACGCAACCAGCAGAGCTGTCTTCAGGGACAGAAATCTTAGAGATACTGATTCGAGTGGCTCAAAGGGATCGGATAGCAAACTCGTGAGAACGAGGGCG